CTATTTTATTTAACGGAATCATGTGAAATCACTAATGTCATCTGCAAATTTAACAAAAATAGTAAATTAGTATAAGTGCAAATGAAGGAGGCGATAACCAACACCACCACAATTAAGAAATTACTCAGTGAAGGAGAGAAATTGTCATGCCCACTGTAGAGCCTGCAGAGATTAATGGAATGTGGCTGTGAAACTGTTTTAATAGATAAATTGGGTGGGTGGTTAAACATCTGAGCAACGATGATTACTTTGTAGTGAAACAAAACAAAGAGGAATAAATCACAAAGCTGCTCTATTACCACAATTAAAATGCAATTGCTTGATCAATTATCACTAGCTAATGGCTTGATGAAGGACAAGCAAATAAATAAAACATTATGCTAACCAAAGTTCTTTGAAGTATAGTAATAATTATAATAATATCTGTATAATTATATATTCCTTAATTGTATGCATTTATGCATTTATACGTGTATAGTGCATTGCAGAACATAAGCAAGGCTGTATATAATGTGTTCAGCTATTCCTTTGTAGTGTATGAGTAAACATCAATAATACACAATCATGATAATGCATGCAGTGGGTAAATGGCTAACACATGGTGAGATAACTGATACAACACTCCTCCATATTTTCTAGATCTCTGAGAATCTCCTTGTTTTACATACTTACCAGCCAAAGGGGATTTGGAAGAGTTTCCCCTTGGAAGAGTTTCCCAAGGCCAGTTTATGTGATGGCACAGGTCGGTTTCCAACTTGCCCTTGGAAAATAACCTGAGTTTATGTGGACACGGGGTGGTAGTAAAGCAAACTGTGACTGTCATATATCAGCATTACATTTTTATATCTAGTAATCAGCAAAGCGTGCATTCCTATGCAGGAATGGAAGTGCTAACACGTATGTGTGTATGAAATAAAATCTAGTGTACAAAGGCAAATAACTCGCTGATGTATAGTATGAGCACCCTGGGATAGCCTGATCCAAAGTCAATGGCAAAGAGCAGGCTTGTCCCCTTGATCCAAAGCCCTGGTCAAGTACAACACTTATTTTATCTGTGGAAGTATTCACGTGGTATAGTTTGAATACATGGGGGAACAAATATTTTGTGATGATTATTCAGCATGGGGAAAAAAGTTATGTACTTATACTGACTAGTGACAACACAGATTCTGTTAAAAGTTGAGCGAGATTTGAGAAGAAATAGGCTCGTGGTAAGCTTCAGTGAACTTCTCAGGTATTCAAGTGCAAATTAATGGCAAGTAGTTCTTATATCCAGTTGTAGAAAGTTGTGTCTAGGATTTCTTTTTAACATTTTTAATGCTTTTTCTTATGCAAAAACATTACATATATTTGGCAAAGTAATTTTTCCTATCCCAGGGGAAGACTAATCAGAAAACAGACAAGTTTGAACATGCTTAAAGTGAGCAAGGTGTATGTTGCTAATATGTAGGTATTGCTACATTGTACTAATGAGAGAGCAGAATCTGCAAAAGCAGGGTGAGACCTCTCATGTCCTGTTTTTGCCCCAAATGCAGGTAGCATCTACATTAAATCCTTTCACTTCTGTGCTTGCAGTTAATCTTTCATGCAACTCAAGGCAGCAGCTATCTTTGAGCCTGTAAAACATATAAGCTCTTCAATGCAATTTGTCTCACTCACATCCATAGACCATAACAGCTCTGGCAACGTGAAAAATTGCATTTTTGTTTGAAACATGAACTTGGAAAAGTGCTTCCTTGGCCATCAAATCTACCTTCCCACATTAGAGGAAATCTTGACAATTGTCCTCCAATTTAAAGTGTATTATGGTAAATTGAAATACAAAACTCAAGTTGTGCAATTTGTTTTATGCGATGCAGATAATATTGGCTTCAATAAAAACCTGAAATAACAGTACAGGAGCATGTACAGTATCCATTATAAAGGTTCAAGGCTTCAGGTACACATAAAATTTTGAATTTTGCAGGTGTCTGAACCTCAGGATTAGTTTCCCCTGAGAGCAGGAAGGAGTGTAGGGATC